CCAGAGGAAGAAAGAAAATACACAATCGTTATTTATCACTATGTTAGAACAGAACAAAACAAAACAAAACATAACATCATATATAAAAAACACCATCTAAGTAATTAATTCTCTTAACCCCAGCCCGAGAATAGGAAATATAATGAAAATAAATGTGGTGGTGGGAATGTAACGCCGCATTAAGGTTATCCATAATCTGTAACCGTGATTCGTAACTTCGTTTTGAGTACTTCGTTTTGAGTACTTTGTACTTCGTGAGCCTGCGTGGCTGGAAACTTCAAATTCAAATTCATATCCTTCACAATCCTACACTTCAAGAAAAAAAGAGAGAAAGGAAGGGAGGGAGAAAGGGAGAGAGAAGTTCCATTCCCTCAAATACCATCATCACTCATTCATTACTCATCTTCTCCCTCGGCATCCAGATCCTCCTCCATCCCACCCTCCACCTTGATTCCCACACATCTCCCCCCCACTCTCCCCTCACTCCTATCCAAACCCGGCGCAAGTCTTTTCCTCGCCCACCCATGCCCCCCCTTCCCCGCACAAAGAATCCATTCCCCCCTCCCCCCCCTCTCAATAATCTTCTGCTCAGCCGCCCACTCCACAAAAAGTCCATCATCCTCCTGTCTCATGACTCCCCCCTCCCCAGCCGCACTCTCCAAATGTTTCCCCAAATGTTCCATCCTCTCATCCCAGCATCCTCTCCCCTCAAACCACACTCCCAGCCCTTCTTTCCGCTGCGCGCACCCCCTCGCCGGACACCCCAACCTCTCCGGCGCCTCTCGTCGACTCCTCTCACAACTCCTCTGCAAAACCCTCACCCGCTCCTCCCACTCCCCATTGCGCTTCCCCTTCCTCTTCACCTCAAACGGCGCATGCATGCGTCTCAAATGCTGCGTAAACAAATCCTTCCGATTAAACTCCGCCCCTTTAACTTCCCCATAACCACGCGCTTGCGCACTCCCCTCCACCCCTTTCCGCATCGCAGACCCCGAGTGCGAGTGCGAATTCAGCGGAACCTTGCCGCAGGATCCGAGAGTACACACCCAAGCTTGCAGATTGAGGTGCTGAGAAGAAACATGTCGCTTCCATTCATTTTTCGAAGCAAAGGTACTATCGCACCCGGCAAAATTGAAGACGCAGATGAAAGCCCGCGTGTGCGCGGATGCGATGTGGCGTTGGAGAGTGGGAGTGTCTTTGAAGCCGGTGGAGGCGCATTGTTTGCAGGAGAAACCTCCGGAAGAGAGTTTGGAAGAGGATTTAGATGCGGATGTGGAGGATTTGGATATGCGGTTGCGTTTTAAGGTGGGGGGAGAGTAGGGTTTAGCTGTGCTGATGCGTTTGCGTGGATTGCGCGTGGAGGGACGGGGTGTGTATTCTGTGTCTGATGGTTCGTCATCTTCTTCGATGTCTCCATCTTGGGGTAGTAGTTCGGAATCGACCTCTGTCTCCATGTCTATTTCCCCATTATTGTTAATATCGATATCATCGCCTTCTGCATCAATATCAATATCAGCATTAGAAATTGTAGATGTATTGTCATGATTCGAAGCTTGAATAGAAATTGCTTGAGGAGATGCAGCATCTCGAATCGAAGCTCCCAATCCCTCATCTCTATAATGTGATATATGAGAAGCTAATTTGTGACTCCCAGATTCCGATGCTTGGATCGCATAATCGACATATGTTTCATCGGTCTCGAATTTGATTTCTTGCGGATCGGCAAATGCCTGAACATCACTAAGATTAACACATGGATATCCAGTGGGCTGTCCGGATAGAATTTGTGGTGATGTCCATAAATCAGAGAAGTTTTGCGAAGTAGTATGAGAGGTATTGGGTAGGGTGTAATCATCTTGGCCTTGAGAGGAATAGTATCCATCGTGATACCAATCTGTTTCGGTAGCTGGGCTTCGAGCACTACTGCAGTTGGAAGAGAGCTCTTGGGAAGGAGAAGGAGATATCATTCTTGTTCGAGAAGCTTGAGGATAAACACTAACGGGTTCGAATGCTCTGTGAGGTGGTCTGGAGAAGCTATCAAAGTGAGACATGGCTGGAACAGTAGTAAAGAGAGCTCGTCCTGGCTCTGTGATGAATCTTTGTAAAGGTTGCTGTGGTAAATCTTGACGGTAATCGAAATCCGGAGAGCCCATTTGAGATTGACGAAGAAGTGGATCGATATTCTGGATCCAAGAACTTTCAATGTCCATCAAATCCTCATGACGGAAAGATTGAGGGTTTGATCTATTCTCCTGGAAGAAAGGCGGTTCCATGGTCGAGTAAGGTAAAGTTTCGTAAGACATGATGTCCAAATAATATAAGTTTAAGTAATCGAATAGCCAATATAGATGTGTCTTCGGGTTACTTTTTGCTTTTGGCCCCCACAATCCTAAACTGGAGAGATAGGGTGGAGCTAAGCTTCTAGAAGAGAAAGAGATACAAAGCAATAAGCTTGGAAGGAATAGAGCTGATATTTGTTTGCTTTCTTATTGATCCTACTGCGGGAATGAGTTTCTTGTGTAGCCCAAATAAACTCATGAATTAAGACGACAGGACAGGAGAGACAACAAACAGAACAAACAGAACTCACAAACGTAATTCGAGTATCTCCACCTTGCTGCGACTTCCAACAAATCCTTTTGCAAATAACAAACAAACAATAATAAATCTCTTTCACACGACGTCTTGTTTTATTTATGCACAAACACAATCAGGAATTAGAAAATGTCAGGTCATGAAAATCCACTGGTCAATAGTCGAATATGGAGATATTGAGACTTGGGGAAAGTCTGAGGCGAAGTAGCGAGATCGATAGGCGCAGTTGTTGTATGTGTGATAGATATGATGTATTTAGATGATACAAGAAAACAAAGAAACCAGAAACGGCACGACAAATCTCTAATGTACGTGGACCAAGCCTCAACATATCCTCCACAAAAGTTCATATGTGTACCATTTGGGACCGACAAATTCATGTGCAATTTAGCACAGAGCCGCATGGTGAGAAGAAGGGTAGGCCGCACAGGAGGCCGGTGAAGGATCTCCTCACATAATTCAAACGTTTCTGTATGTCGACTTTGGCGTGCATACCCCCTGAGCCCATCCAAAGTATTGGAGATCGATGACTCTCCCTGTGCTGCGCCCCTCATCATTCCTCATGTTCCTTGATGGCTTGAAGCAGCTCTGACAGGGCACCGCATATCACCTCAAACATTTCCCCATGTCGAAATTCTCAATCATGATGCGAGTGGAGACCCGACCGAGCTAGTCAATCGTGCAGATGGAGCTGTCCATACATTTCTTTTCATTTCATTTCGTCGCTCTTTCGTTTCCTTTTGCTACCCTCCCAACATGAATTCCACTTCAGGACCAATGGCACACAAAATTATCCCTGTACATGGTGTAAGGCGGACAAGGCGACCGCTAGGCAGACCTCGACGTCAATTCTTCAAAATTCGAGAACGATGATTATTGTTTTAGCCGTCATTCGAATAGAATCCACAAGCCGTTCCGTCAATTGAGAAAGTTCTCTCGGCACAAAACAAAATTCTCATTCGATACGGTCGGGTTTATTGGGGAAACTTTGTTTTCTTCCGCTGCCTTCGCTTAGAAAGAACGACAGTACAGACAGCTTTTACTCCAGAATTTGCGGTAGCACAATATTCGCATTCGGTTCTGCTTCAAAGCATGCATTGTACAGCCAAGAAGATCCAATCCCTCTCCTTTCCCTTTCCATTTCCCATTTCCTATTTTCCCTTTTCTAATTTTCTCTCACTTCATTCCATTCATTCTCCTTCTATAGGTGTCAGCACTCTAGCCCCCACCCACACCATCCAATGCTCCAACCTCCCAATCGCCGATATTGAAAACAGCCCCCAAATGATAACAGAGACCATTTCAAATACGTCTCTTACCGAGTCTGTATCGCGGTCGCAATTAATGCATCTCGATCTAATTGGTGTAATCAAGCGTTTAACATGCATTTTCGTTCGTGAATTCGCTGGGTCGGTTAGATCAATCGGGGTTGGTTTCGTTCTTGCCCATTTCACCCCATTCCACATTTATCGCATCAATTCCACCCAAATCTACATTCAAATGCTACACATACTCGGCTATCCGCATTGAAGATCGAGTACGACGAAGAAGTCGTGTTTACAAATATTCCACATCTTCTTCCCATGCCACCGAGTAGTGTCTGCTCACATATGAATTTAATCTTCAAGATCTCCGCATGTATGCAACACCAAACCCAACAATGCCCTGTGAGCAAGCTTCAACGCCCATGAAGATATCCCTTAAAGAATCAAGAATACCCCTCCTTCCACATACAGACAATGGATACACATACATATATGCAGCCTCACTTTTTTTGGCTCCGCTTGCTTCGCCCTTCACCTACATACACGTCCAAACCACTCTTCCACCCTAAAACTCGGTGAACCAAAGGGGTCTAGCTTCACATATATTCACGTCGTAGAAAGGGTGCGCCACGTGGAGGGAAAGTTGCATATGATGTGGCTTTGCCCTTGATCCTGGGTAGTTGTTACAACTGTAGTATTCTAAATTACCCTATGAGCACTATTTTCCCTACACCATCTATAATCTATTCGGTGTGTTAAGCGAGATAACTCCTTCATGGGCCGGATTGGAAAGCGGTTATCACTGCGGCTGAAAACATCGTATTCCAACCATTGGAATGGTTATTCAACACGGTCACTCAATACCTCCCACCATCATAGATGTACTATGTCCAAAAAATCAATTTACGAGTACTGTGCCCCTCGCTAACCTTTAGATTTCATGGAAAAGATTTTCTTTCTACCATAAGGTTAAATTTGCAAACGCCAAAGGAAAAAATCCCTGGATATCTTCCTTCCCAGTATTTTCGAATTCCTACCCAATTACATCGTAGACCCAATAGTTTTACACAATTATCCCTTCTCAAATGAAAGTGATCAACAAACCACAATAAAAAACTTCAAACAATATCCATGAGCATGTCAGACTTTTTGACCTTCACAATTACCAATCGAATCGCTCTTGCACTCGTTACAAAAATCATGACTGCAGGAAGTACACTTGGGACTAAGAGCAAGAGTACGTCCTAGATCATCTGCACAATGACACTATAAATACGTTAGCAATTGCATATGGCACAGTAAAATAAGATCGCGTACACAATAAACAATCTCCCCAATCTTTGTATATTTCGATGGCCTGTCATTCTCATCGTCGTTGCGTTCTCGTTTCTTTGATACTCTGTGCTCTTGACCCACCAAAGCAGATGAGGTTCCTTTATTGCCGACAAATTCTAGTGAGCTCTTACCAAAGTCATCTGTAGAATCGATCGAATGTTCCTGATGGTCATCTTTAGGTGAAGATCCACCTAAAGGATTTGGACTGGCGGCGTCGCCTTTGGGTTTGTCACTATCAACTGGAATCCAATCTTGAATGCTTTGTTTTTGAAGTCCGTGGCGCCCCATGAAATGATTGTCTATGTGGTCAAACCTTTCTGTCCAGGCCTCAAGACCCTTTTTCTTAAGATCAACAAGCGTCTTACAAAAACCACACCAGAAACGAGCCTGACAATTACGGCCAATACGACAAGCATCGACCTTAATCTTAACAGCATCTTGATCAATGATAGCATGTTCTTTCTTTAGATGTTCTTGGAAGGTTTGACGACGATAAGAGACCTTCGCACATGCTCCGCCTTCGGGTTTCTCATTGTCGCAACGCCAGGTCTCCAGGTGGAAATGTTGCGAGTTCTCGTGTCGTTTCCAATCATTTTTACTTCCAAAGGTTTTATTGCAAGCCAAGAAAGTACAGCCGTAAGGCCTCTCGTGCCGTTTCATATGTTTCCTATTTATAATTAGTAACAGTGATGTAAGAGATAGATTTTGAGCTTACTTTAGCTCGCAAGGTCTTCCTTTGAACTTTTTACAAACCTCACAAGTGACTTGGTTCTCACTCTTGTTGCTGGCGGCAGATCCTGGGTTTTGTATCCGAGGTGTATGATTTGGATCCTTTTGAATAATGTAACCTAACTTTTGAAGGGTTTTATAAACCTCAACGGCTTTTTCCTGGTCCAGGGAATCATCTGTTGTAGAAGAAGTGGACTTATTAAATCCATCTAGTAAGCATGCAGCTTTATCTGTTGTGGATCCCCAGGAATCAGCGGGGGGAGATTTTCCATTAGGCAAAACTTTCCGTCCCATCGGCAATGCACCAACGTTTGATGTATTTTTTGCCTCTGCTAATGCGGTTCTAATTGCTTCGGTAATAGTCGCATCGGTGGCTGAGACGCTACTGTGTCGAGTTGCCTTACCTGCAGGTGGTAATGGATTTCTCTCCACCGGGGCACGGCTTACATGATCAAGATTACGATCCAATGCACTCTTTGTACCCACTAGGGTTGAGATATCACTTTCCAAAAAGATTTTGTTAACAACCTCTGATGGATTCCGGAATAATTCCGATGGTTGGATGGTATCTCTAGTATGTGGATCCGCGGGAGGATTGTTCGGTCCAGGGATAGCAGTGTCACTGGGATTCACATCCGCGACGAGAGGTTTCTCCATTGGAATTTCCGTTGGAGTGACTAAATCCTGGATCAAGTCTGGATAGACGGGCTTCCAATTGGATTTGATATCCTGGGCTTTTGGTGAACATTCGTTAACTTCCCTGTTGTGCGAGATATCGTGGGTAGACACTTCTGCAGAAAGATGGGCATCTTGAGGCAAACCTGAGGGTTCCAGAAATTCAGCCCTAAAAAATATTAGTCCTACCAAATGTTGTTGAAGTCTCTCAGACCTACTGTCGTATCATCTCCTCAAAGTTCTCTTCCAATCGAGCGACGTTTGAATGAACTCGTTTCAAGTGACTACGGAAGTTGTCGAGTCGTGGCCATGCTTTATCTTTGGACTTACACCCGGGTACAACACAGCGGTATTTTTTTATCGACTCCGCCTTCGAGGTTGTAGCTAAGGGATGTTTGCTCTTTGTATGTCGATCTAGATCGTTGGTTGTGCTAAATCCCTCAGTTCTTCCACAACCTGGATAATTACACACAAAGGGCTTTTTATGTCGTAAATCATGCTTCCTATGAAAAATTAGTATTGATTCTTCATGGCAGATCAATATGGAAACGGACTTCAACTCAGATTTTGTTTTTACGGATTTGTGACAGGTCGAACAGAACAGACCTGGCGAGTTGATAGAAGCCGGAAGATGTGTTGGCCATGCTTCGGGTGTCCTATTCTCGCGAGATTGCAATGCTTCATTCAAGCCCTGAAAAGGCTGATAGTCTGCAACATGACCTGCTAAACTTTGACAGTCTTGATCGCGATCATTAATGTCAGAGCTAAAGATTGAAGCATTTCCATGGCTCCTTCTGGTTTCATATCCAGAATCTGATTGTGGTGGGCCACCGAAATGAAAGGATCCATTCTCCAAGGGATCCTGTTGACGATACGGCCCTCCAAAAGCAACGGGTGCACGATTACTTGAACGAACCTTGATATTTGTTCTCTCCTCAGAGATGGGGTCTGAAATTGTCTTGGGGTACCAAGGTCCATCATTATCGGCATACCATTGGAGTAATGGAGCCTGGCCTGTCGCACGATCCATTGGCAGTTGTTGCATCCTAGAAATTGGTCCATATGGGGAATTCAAATCAGGAAATCCATGAGGAGAAGGAAACAATGTTGGCTCCCAAGCAACCGAAGAAGAAGGGGAAGGACTTGGAAGGGTCCTCGAATTACTCAGGTCAATCTCAATAGGTTGAGGTGGAAAATCTAATGATGGCGGACCCATCTCTCCTCGTGTAGAACCATATCCGGAATCTGAAGCATTGTGCATGGAAGGAGGTGAGGGATAATACTACGATTTTCCATCAGAACAAAGCTCATGGAAGAAGTTGAAAGGGGGAAGAGTTGATCATACATGGCGTGGATAACTCCCATTACGGGGATAGCTTGGATGCATCGACATTGCTATTAGCTGTCAGTCAATACTCTGACACGCATCTACTCAACCCGATATAACAAACCGGCGATGGATATGAGAAGAGATGTAGGAGATGTAACCGATATATCACAGTCTTGGAAATATACAAAATGTTATTTGACGTGAGAAGAGCCGCAAGCAATGAGAAAGAAGTCAAAGAAGACGTTCGCATACGCAGGGCAAATGACCCGTACGCTTAATCATGAAGCATGGTTCAAATGACAACTCGGAGTACTGTATGTAGACGAGGAAAGGAAAATGGTTCGCGAAATAAAATGTCCAAAGAAAGTAATGAGGCAAAATACAAAAGGTTGAATATATATGTATGTATGTATGTATATGTATGAATGTATATGTATGAATGTATATGCGACACTAATGGAGAAGCAAGCGATCGAAATGCTTACGAGGTGCGCGTGCTAGATGTGATGTGATGAGGGAGAGTTGATGAGGGAGAGTTGATGAGTGAGTGAGTGAGTGAGTGGTTTTCGGTGAGAGAATCGGGCATTAAAACAGAGATTCCGAAGTAGAAAGAGTGCGACACGACAACCAATGAATGAAAATGAAGTCAGTCTTGTCTAATAAATAAAAAGAAAAAGACCAACAAATGGAGAAATAATTATTGATAAGCTTTTCATTCTCATCAAGTGATTGATCTTGTTCTTCCTATGATCATAGATAGATAGACATGTATTGAATATGATGATACCTGAAGAGTGAAGTGAAGTGAAGTGAAGTGAAGGTTGAGTTAAAAGATAAGAAATGAAAAAAGGTGTGAATCCTGTGCTAAGTGAGAGTGAGAGTGAGGCTTGCGTGGGATTGCATGGTGAGGGAAGTGAGGCGAGCAAGCGAAGAAGGAAAAAGAATCTGGGGGGATGTTCGAACTGTGCAGAATCCAATACAATACATACTAGGCAACAGTACTAGGTAGCTGGGCGCCCTACTTGAAATCAATGTAAGATCTTACGACTAATCAATGACTCAGCTACCTAATATTCATTTCATTCGTGCTGTTCATACTGTTCATACCGTCACTCGCAAACCTTTCACGCCCGATTGATATAAGCATGAAGAAGATAATTTGCCCTTTGGGAACTCGATGTGTGGTGCTGTGCAAGCAATGTATGGACACACGAGAAAAAATAGTTACAATCACGTGACAATCACATGAGCATCTTCGAATGGGAAATAAAGCTCTAGAGGATACGAGACTTTATTAGCTAGGTATACAAACTAGGAGAGAAAGCCACACCCTACCTACCTACTAGGTAGGTAGGTACCTAGTATACACAAATATTTTCTCGATATTTCTACTTTTCCACCTCGTATCTCTCTTTCTCTCTATATAATCCATACTACAATCTAAACCTTACGCAAGAAGGGATCAACCCTCGACCCGCAACCCTCATCCTCAATCCACTCATATCTCACCCATACGACTTCGAAGTGTGAACACAACCTCAACTTCGCATCATGACGTCTCTCTATCCATCTACATCTGAACCCATTCCACAACATCTCACAGCCCCCCATGCATCTTTCCAGAACTTCTGCACCCCGCCTCCTCACATATCTACCTACATATCTACCTACCTATTTACCTACATACCTACATACATCAACCCACCTAAACCAACTAACAAACGAATGCGATATTGTCACACCTCAAAACCAGTTTCCTCACTTCCCTTCCCCCACACGTACACCCCTCCCCCCGCAAATCCCAAAACGGTTCACAAATCCACGCGATCACGTTTTCGTATACGTCTGACGAAATAGCACCGGAGAGGTAAAACAGCAACTCCTCGGTTAACCATTCCGAGCAGATGGCGATCATGTAGCGAGCTTGTAGCTGGCTATAGGTATGTATGTATGTATGTATGTATGTATGTATGTATATATGTATGTATGTATGTATGTATATATGTATATATATATGTATATATGTATATATGTATATATGTATATATGTATATATGTATATATGTATATATGTATATATGTATATATGTATATATGTATATATGTATATATGTATATATGTATATATGTATATATGTATATATGTATATATGTATATATGTATATATGTATATATGTATATATGTATATATGTATATATGTATATATGTATATATGTATATATGTATATATGTATATATGTATATATGTATATATGTATGTATATATGTATGTATTCTCTGTATACATATCCCTTCTAGTCCCCTTGAAGTTGGCATGAAAGCGAGTAGGTAATTGAATCGAGGCTTCGCGAGGCATTCCCCCCTCCATGGGAGTTTCTAGAAAAGTATTCGAGAATGAGAAGAGGGGTTTTGTATAGAGTGGAAGAGTAGGTAGGTATATATATTGTAAGACCTACCTAGATGGGTAGATGTGGAAATGGAAATGAAAATAAGAATGAGAATGAAAATCAGAAATGAGATATCGAGATGTCCATCCCATTTCCAAAACAATACACACCTGTTCACCCAACAAATCTCCATAGAATCCCGAGTTATCTCTACAAACCACATATCCTGCAAATTCCAAATTCCAATACCAATCAAACAAACCCCCCCTCCTCCCCCTAAAAACCTAAAAACCTAAAAACCTAACCCACACATCACTATCACTACCAAATCTCTACCCATCACCATTCCCATTCCCCATTCCTCCACTCTCCCGCCTCTCTTCCTCTTACACACAAACTCCCATCTCACTCCACCGACACCTTCTCAAACACCACACCTTCAATACCTATCCAATCCAATCCAATCCCACCCCATCCTATCCTATCCAATCCATATATATATATATATATATATATATAAACAACACACACAAATCCTTTCAACTCACAAAACAACTAAACTAATCCTGAGCGCTTGTTAAAAAAAAAGAAGAAAAAAAAAGAAAAAAAAGATCACACAACCATAAAAACCAAATACATGAACATAATCATACATACATACCTACCTACTTACCCATAAGCATTCACTCACTAATTTCAACCACGAATACCCCCATTCACAATCATACATCTCATAACTCATCCCCTCATATTATATTACAAACTCCCTCCCCCATCTCACCCATCTCACTCATCTCAGACCTCCATATTTCATGAGGTGAGTGGACCAGGCCTTTCACCACGAGTTGAGAAATAATAATTTTACATTGAATTGTGCTTTCGTTCTGCCTTTCTTTTTACTCAAGATGAAATCATGGAGTCAACACATCCATTCAACCTCAACATTCTCCATGTTTCTTTGCTGATTATGTTCCAACCACTTTGCTCATCATTTCATTCATGATATCAGAATCATCACCTTTTCATTCCACTCAACTCATCAGAACCTCTCAATGCTCGAAAATTAACGCATACCAGCTCCTCCGAGTCCGCTCATACCCGCTAATCTACTCGCCAATTCTGGATATTTCTCCTGAACTTCCAATTGTGTCCTCGTGGCTTCAGCATAACTCAAAGCATTGACAATTTCTCCTTCTGTTCTGGATAATTCTGCTGCTCGCTCAAAGTACTTAAGTGCTTCAGTCACCTTGCCTTGTTGAAGAAGAAGTTGGGCCATGGTTGCAACAGCGATATCACACTCAGGGTCGACTATTCACAATTACATTAGTATAGAAAACAAATGGTTACGGGACAATTAACGTACTGATAAGAGCCTTTTCGCAAAGCTTCTCAGCCTCGCTGAAATCTTGCTTCCATTGGAAAAGAGCGAGAGCTTTGTTGATGAGTGGAAGAACACTCATGCCTAATGGTTTAGTTTGCTTCTCCAACTCAACGGCCTTTTCGAATTGTGAAATGGCTTCATCATACTTCTGTTGATCTAACAAAAGCTCTCCGTAGTAGTTGTATGCATCAGGTACATCTTCGAATGCCTTGATTGTGCGTCTGAATGTTCCCATAGATGATGCGGTTGAGCCCATCTTGTATTGTGTAACACCGAGTTGAATGTGCGAGAAGATAAAGTCCCGGTCAAGATCAATAGACTTTTGGTAGTCCTTTGCGGCTTGTGAAAGTTCTCCGAGGATGAAGTTGAGTTGAGCACGGTGGTAGTAGATATCAGGGTCATCGTCATGTTGTTCCATAGCTTTGTCGAAATCTGCAGCAGCGGCGTCCTTGTCACCTGATCTTTGTATTAGTAGCTAATCATAAATTAATGGATTGTAAATACTAACCAAGTTCCAAATGCATGCTTGCACGCTTGATGTAACTTTGTGTGTAGTCGGGCGACAATTCGATACTCTTGCTCAAATCACTTAGAGCATCAATTTGTACGCCACGAAGATATCTGAATGTTCCACGCATGTTGTACGCAAAAGCTTCATGTTCACCGAGATCGCCCAAATCTAAGGCCTTCTCAAATGCAGCTGAAGCATCTTCATATCCTTCATTAGTCTTCTTTGCCATAGCTCGAAGTCCAAGTTGTAATTGACCCTTTCCTGTTTCCTCTGATATCTCAACGCTATCTTCTAATCCTGCAGGCGCGGGTTTTGATCGGAAACTTTGGAGGTAGTTGGTGACGAATGTTGGGCTTGGAAGCTTCTTATCCTTGGCCTCAAGAATGACCTTTGCCTTCGACTCGGCTACCTTTTTGAGCAGTCTCTCGACAGACTGTGCGCTTTGCTCGTTACGGAAACCATCGATAATACAGCTGGCTGTAAAGTCGAGTAAAGCCTCACTGTATTTCTCGGTATGTTCATAAGCATTTGCTCTACGGTTCAAAGCCTTGACATATCCGCTATCGAGATTGATCGCAGCAGTAGTATCCTCAATAACCTTCTCGAATTCGCCGAGAGCGTTGTAGCATGCAGCGCGGTTCGAATAGAAGATAGGATCTGGCTTGCAAAGGATGGCTTTCCCATAAAGATCGATGGCTCGAGGATAGTCTTTGGCTCCATATGCGGTATTACCAGCTGCCTTCAACTTGGCGGCATAATCTTTACGTTGTTGATCCGATAGA